CGAATCGAGTCCAATCACAGCAGAAGACACATTGAATTTGAAAAATCTTGTCGTGCCAGAATGGACGACGATTGGCAATTTATATAGATCAGTAACAAAGGACATGACTATTCGATGGGTATGTAAGCGTCATTATCCGGCCGATCAATCGCAATTGATTCGTCGTTTGCGAGATATTGAAGGCATATCATTTGATGAACAGGAAAGTGAAATGACCATCAGTGGACGACTAGATCCAACGCAAATGTCACGTTTAACTGCGACTCTGCAACGAGGCTTGCGTATTTACACGCTCAATTATGTCTATCATTCACCACCACTCGATCAATTGAATAAAGCTTTCTGTCGAGCCTCGATTAATACTGTGTATCATCATGGTTTTCTCTCCGATGACAATGACAAGTCAAATATGGATCGAATTCAAAAATTGTGCAATCAAGTCATCACTTCAAATGTTTTCGTACGGCAAGCTAAAGTTACTGATGGAGGTGGTTGGTCACGAAAACGAGCTGGTATCCGAGATGCGTTGAAATCCAACAATAGACTACGTTCTTTTACCTTTAGTGGCTCTATGACCAATCAAGGTATCACAGAGATTATGGCAACATTGAAAACGAATATGGTCTTGACGACATTAAGATTCAAAGATCGACCACTACCACCGCATGGTGCCGAGACTTTTGCCGAATTGATACGATCAAGTGGTACATTGATTTGTTTGACTTTGTCGAATACGATGCTTAAAGATGAAGGTCTTCACGTGATTATCGATGCAGTTGGTGCTAATCCCATCATGCAAACATTAGAATTATCATTCAATCGTCTACATGATAAGAGTAGTTCATATATTGGTTATTTGTTGAAAGTCTGTACGAGTTTACGAAGTCTTGACATCAGTTACAACGAGTTCAGTGCTATTGGAGCAAGGCGAATATTTGACAAACTGAAACTCAATCAAACACTCGTACATTTCAATATTGGTCTGAATAATTTAGCTGTAAGAAGTGGAAAACAAACGATGCCATCGAAAGTGTCACCTGTTAATGGTGGTGAATTGATCGGAGCAATGTTAGCAGATAATAATACTCTGATCACCTTGGATATTACTCATGTAAACATGTCGGATTTTGGTGTACAAGGATTGGCTGAAGGTCTACTGAAGAATCGAACATTGACACATTTAAATTTGACATCGAATAAAATTTTCGATGTTCAACGACGAGCGATCTTGGATGCGATGCATAGCAATTATACGTTGTTGAGTCTTGATCTGTCACATAACGATATGGACGATGGCAGTGTCGTACGATTGGGTGAAATGCTTCGAATCAATAAGAAATTACGATATCTAAGAGTGAAAGCATGTCTAATTGAGGATAGTCGAATGTATAGTCTTGTTCGTGCCTTACAAGATCAATTGACATTAACACATCTCGATCTATCAAAAAATAAGATCGGTGATGATGGAGCGACCATGATTGCTGATATTCTTTCAAAGAATAATACATTAATCTATCTGAATATTTCTGAAAATCGTATTACTAATCAAGGTATTCAAACAATTGCCAATGCTCTAGAAATGAATATTACGTTACGCCATTTGGATATTCTTCTTCAGCAAGACAATATTACCGTCTTTGCAATGGTTACCTTTCGATCTATTCGACCAGACTTGGTTGTCAGATAGACAAGATTCAGTTTTCATTTTTTTTCTTTGTAAATTCATATCTTTTGAATTGGAGAAGCACTTTTTCTTATCCACGTCGACACAAAATTGCATTGCAAAACACACTCTTACGAAATTTTTGTCAAGAATTTTGCCTACTTTTTTTTTTCTAGATAAAGCACCTTTGATTACAAATGAATAAGTCGGCTTTAAAGATTAACTTTCAAAACGAGGATATCGGATCGATATTTCCTAACTTGAAATTCTACTTCAACCAAATAAGTTGAATGAGTATGGATCGGGATTTTGTTTTAAAACATTTAAATGAATAAGTCAGGGTTGAGAATTATTATCAGATGTTTTTCTACATCGATTTGTTATTGTGTTTCTATTTGAAAGAAAAAAAAAAAAACCTGTGAACGAGTGCATTTTGCTCGTAGTTTATTTAACTAGTGAAACAATTGAGCCTATTTTTCGCAAGTTTAATTAATTTATTGATATTTTCTGTTATTTGCATGAAATACAATAAAATAATTTGAGAAACACCTATTCAAGTTTTCTTTTGATTTATTCTATGTAATTAATCTGAGAAACATTCACCGTTTTTCTAAGTTAGGAAAATACATGAAAATGTGAGCGAAAATCGATTTTTTTATTAATACCCGATAACTGTCTGATATTGCCACAATTGATTCTTGTTGAATCTCTTGTAAAATTGTAAGTTACTCTTTTAAGCGTATTATAATCAATATCAATACAAATTTTATTTGATAGAGACGTTTTTGTAGCAGTCAAAAATTGTTCAATATAATCATTATGAGCGATAGAGAGATAAAGTCGAGTAAGATGACAATATTCAATAATTAGAAATGTTCGATTGTCTTTGTTGCATTGTTGATCATATTTATCCTTTTGTGGTGACTGATTGTCTACAATTAAGACTTTAAGATATGGAAATGATTAACTAATTCGAATGAAAAACTCGTGTTTAAAAGAACGTTCATCATATAGATAGACTTTCTGAACCAACAGAAATAATCCATCTGGAAAATCATTTGAAAGCTTTGAGAAATAATTCATTGTATACGGTAAAGAATAGATATGACATTGACCTAATTTATCTCTTAAAAAATAATCGACATAAGATATAACTTCATAATGTTCAAAAGATCGTTAAATGTATGTTAGATATGTTCATTTGATGGTAACTCAATTAATTTATCAACATGTATATCAGAACGAATACTAAATACAATATTTTTTTAAACTTTGACATAGAATTGATGATATCATTTTTTAAATTATTTCTATCAATGAATGATGTGTGAACAATTGAAATATTCAATAAAAGTTCTTCAAGATTCGTCATTCTATGTAAAAGTATTATTAGCATTTCAGCATAACCAATTACATCTAATTGACACGCTAATGAAAAACATTTTAAATTAAATCATTCGTCCTAGAAAAAAAATAAGCAATAATCTCGTTATTATTTAAATAAATTTACTCTATTGATTATCGATAATGGATAACAAAACATATAATGAACATTAACATGAAATGTCGAAAATTGATTGAAACGACCATTACGAAGATAAAGACAATCAAAAATATTTTCAACACTAATATACAGTTGCGTCAAAGTTGAACAGGATAATGTTGAAGGTTTTAAAACGAATATTAGCCGCTTACTAGAATTAATGTACATATGTGAATATTGATTGAATTTGAAACAGACTAAATTAGTGAAGAGAGAAAATATACAATTACATATTCTTTTCATAATATCATTCATTAATATTTCTTCGGGTTTAGTATTAATTGTGATAACAAGTGCTGATAGATGATTTTTGAGATCAACTTTAAAGAGATTTTATGTAAATGTACTATTAACAAGATTTATTTTCTTATGGATGAATGATCATAATGACTCTGTATTATTTAACTTTTCATATTAGTGAAAGAATCGAAATAGAATAATTTACTATTAAACAAATGCTCAGTTATATCGTGTCGAATATTAAAAAGATCAAGGCCATATAGATTTGGATAATCAGCAGCAAGAAGAAGACGTTTCATAGATAAGATTTCAACGTTGAGCCACTTGATTGTTATGATGAACTTTAGACAAAATTTCTAAACAAAATCGATCAAGTATTGGATCAATCATTGGATCAATTGAACCATCGGATGAACGTCTCAGCAATGTTAAATCACTTGTAAAAATTTTGTCACGTGTGATTTTGTCAAGTCGTTTATTAACATCCATTAGAGAATAAATTACTTCATTATTATTCAATTTATTAAAGATCAACAAAAGTATTTCATCAGGCAAATCGAAAAGGTTAACAAAGCTATTTTCCAAGGTAATCTGCGATTATAAAACTTTTCTTAATATCCTCTATGTTGACACTCATATATGTGTATATATATGGTTTAGTCTGATTTTCTCGCTGCCGTCAGCAATCAAGAGAAAGATCTTTGTTTTTCTTTATAGTCGAAATGTACGAAGAATGAGTGACTGTGTTTCTCATTGACTGACCGAATCATTTTAAAATTCATGAAAAATAATTCAAAAATTGAAAACAAGAACACTTAACGATATTGATATGAGCAGCTCTTCTACAATGATTCCATTGAGAATTAAACTTCATCGAATTTACATATTACTGACCCTGACATTTTTTCATACTAGAATTCAAATCTAAAGAGAGAAGGACGAAGCAGATCAATGAATTTTGATTGTAAGATCAATCAAAATATCTATTTTCAATCATAGAGAAAGGAAAAGAGTCTTTACACGAATAACAAACCATACAAAGCACTGTTTACGGAAATATCGTTGAAATTCAGATTGAATTGTCATGTTGATTGAAACAAAAAAATCGAATTAGTATAATTATGGGTACAAGTTACAATGACATTCATTTAGTACTTTGCTCAGCAAATTAGAAATTATTATCTATAGGAATTGAAATATACGATTGAATAATTGGTAGATATGGTTAGACTGTTACCTCATTGCTATGAAAATAGAAAACTCCTAAATTCACCATATCCCGAGAATAACAGACATTCAACGAAAAAAACATCAACTATTTCAGTTTCTTTCATGCTTTGAGACAATTTTATAGACGTAAACAAATATATAATTTCTCTACACAAACACACATGCGCTACTTGACGACTCGCATGAATGCTTCACTAATCATCGTTGTATGATATGTCAATGTGCATAGTTTATGCTCTTCAATATTTTTACATTTTGCAAGCAGGTGTGATTTACCTTGCTTCTACTTTGTCTTGTGTTACTTGTTAGAAGAGAAACGTTATAATGGATCGAAAGCACTGTATTCAGTCATATCAAAACGATGTGAACAAATGTCGAGTGAAAATTCGTCAATTAACAGTCGACGAAATTGAGCAACGTGCATATGCTGATGTGATAAAGTGGCGTTTCAGCTTCAACACAGCATCGTCTTCTAAGCAAGTTGAACAAATACTCAATGAAGTCGAAGAACATAAACGAGCAGAAGTTAACCGTCTGGCCAATGAACTTCGTGTTTCACTTACTGATTTCCAAAACACTCTCTTAAGTCGTCTTGCTGAGCTCGATACGTTTCTTGCGTCGATGAATCAGCAAGAAAATTCGTCACTCAACCATATAAAATCCGAGCTAACGTCCATCGGTAAAGCAATTGATTCTCTTCGTATGAATATTGTTGTTCAAGTAACTGATATTTCAAAAGGAAGATTTTCATCGACTCCACTTGCTCGACATAGTTTGCAATTGACCAAAGTGTTTGATTTTAAAAAGCTAGAATCATCATCGACTTCATCCTCTGGTCTTCTCGCGCCAATTCGAGATTTTGTACGTCGAACATCAGCTTCCGGAGCAAGCCGCTACAATACTGAAATTGTTGAAAACACGACGAATTTTTGAGCCAAATATTGTTTTTTTTCAATATTGTCTTATTTCGACTTTAAAATAAATCTTTTAAACTTGAACTCATAATCAACTGTAAGCTATGCAGATGCCTCCAACGAGTAAATTTGATTGAATATGAAATTTGTTTCTTTCCTATATCTTTCACATGACGAGCTCTACTCTCTTCTTCAATGATTTGACTGTATTTTACACATTCTTTTAGAACACGATTGATTGATACAACTACGATGTCACACATGAATTGAAATTCAAGGATTTCTGTTATGTACAACAGTTTTCAAAAAACAAAATTACCTTACTTATTTTATTAGTGTACTAAAAAGTTTTATCAATGTCTGTCAGGTAGTCGTCAATCAAGAGTGACATTTGTTCAATTTACAACATGAGAAGATTCCATCAATTCAATAAACTCTTAAAGAGCATGGGTGCGTGTGGATCGGTGGATGTGAGTTTCTCTTACGTCAATCATACCTACGCCCCCGGTCATATCCATCCACCCACTCACACCTACACCACGGCATCATTCTGGTGCTTAACTCACAGAATCTCGTCAGAAATGGGTCATTTACCATCAAACTCAAGTTTAGATCAAATCTAAACTTTTGAAAATCGAATCCCAAGACCTTGGATTTGTTGAATCCCTACAGAAAAACAAAATTACCACTTTTTGTTTGATGCGATGAATTTTAATAAAGGTAATTCTTGGGCCAATTTGCTCAGGATAAGGGTGTGGGTGTGGGTGTGGGTGGGTGTGGGTGTGTGGGTGTGGGTGGGTGTGGGTGGTGTGGGGTGTGGGTGTGGGTGTGTGGCGTGGGTGTGGGCGTGTGTGGATGTGGGGCGTGGGTGTGGGGTGTGGGTGTAGGTGTGGGTATAGGTGTGGGTATAGATGTGGGTGTGGCTGTCAGTATGGGTGTGGGATGTAGGTGTGGATATGGATGTGGGTGTGTGGCTGTCGGTATGGGTGTGGGATGTGGGTGTGGGTGTGTGGGTGAGTGTGTGGCTGTCGATATGGGATGTGGGTGTGGGTGTGTGGGTCAGTGTGTGGCTGTCGGTATGGGTGTGGGATGTGGATGTGGGTGTGGGTGTAGTTCTACCTGAAAGAAGAACTCACAGTTGCACACATCTTTAAAGCCACCCTTACCCTTTGATCTACATAACCCACACACTGGCATATCTCACATCCACAACCCCAGCCACACCCCTTCCATACCCACACATCCACGCACCTACACCATCAACTTACTGATTAGGTCAATGGCTCTGTTCAATAGCCGAATAATTGTATATTTTTTCAGATGTGTTAGTATCAATATCGTTAAAAAGGAAAATAATCGAATGTTTAATGAAGAAAGGGTATGCGATAGTAATCGATTTTTGTTGAATTTATGTAATGGTAAGTTCATAAACTTCTATGAAATCTCGAACAATAAAAGCTAATTGTTTGGTTAACACGTCACCTTTGATAATAACCATTGGTTCAGGCGGAGTTCGATGTACATAATCACCTCGCAAATTAAAACACCACCGTACAGAAACCGATAAGCCATTGTTGTCATAACAAGCATAGATGTATATTCATTTACAATACCGAGAGAGTAAAATATTCGTTAACTGTCTTCATTTGCCACTTCTTCACTTTATTTCAAGTCGACTTTTAGTTTGTTTAAACTAACTAATTCTGATACCATATTTAAAGGTATCCGATTAAAAATTGGATAGATCAAGAACACAGACAATCAGCGAGCTGTAGATTTCGGTAATCGAAGAGAATAAATGGAGACTTTATATTTTCCTATAAATTTTGAGACGAAATTATTTTAAAATGAATAACCTTTGCGAAACAAGAAAAATCTGATAAATTTCATATAATTCGATTGAACAGATACGGAATTTTATTAGCTCATCAATAGGATCTCAGAAAATAATCATTCCGATTATTCCATGAACGATAGATCTCCAACTTTTCTATCTAGGAGGCACATTACGACCTAAATTTCACAAAAATAACAAATCGTATTTATAAATTGTTTTGTGGAAGTAATTGGTTTTAGCATAGTTGCATCTTATATATTATAGGAATGAATAATATTTTCATGTCTCTCTTTCTAGATTGATAAAAATTGCAAATTGCTAGTGTTTTTCATGCTTGATTTATTCAGTTTCTAACCAAATACCTTTATGTCTTTTGCAGTCATTAAATTTTCTTATTAGTTTTATTTTTCGAACACTGCAAGTGAGAAGAGTATTTAAAGAAACAAACCAATTTCGAACCTAACGTCTTTTTCTCCAGTAGAATAAATAGGCATGATTTATATTTTCATACTGTTTACGATCACAATACTTTCAACAATCTGAGGATTTTCTATGTGATGCAAAAGTAAAATCGCTACCCACATATACAATTGTATATTTTCTTTCACCTGTAAAATACGACTATATTGAGATTCTGAACTTACTTTTTTTACGTAATGAATTTTTCCATTTTCTCAAACATACGACTGCTGTTTATTCGTCAAAGAATGAGTAGATAACGATGTTTTGATAATTAATGTTTTTATATTTTTCAATAATAAACGAAAATGAAACTCATCGAATAATCATATGACCCATGCATCATTAGAAAAAAGAAGGAAAGAGTATTTCAAGCGTTAACAACCATCCATGATACATATGCTGGTTTGTTTTGACAGAACGATTGCTATTTGAGAAGAAAATGTTATTTTATTCATTGCATAAAATTTTTCAATGGTCGTGACGCCATATTACTATCGTAAATACAAACAGAGTAACTGGAGAAGGAAAGTGAGTAATTGTACAGAGAAAAGCAGTGCGCTTGATTGTAATGGCTATGATTTTTTTTTAATATAATTTAAAAGGTACCTGACTGATTTCATACCGTATCGATTAAAAAAAATTCGTCAGAATTTTGTGACTATATTTATCTGCAAGGTGTTCTTTGAGCAGTTTTATTTTATTTAACATTTATAACTTGGAATGGTGTGTGGTTGTGACTTCGTCTGTGGTTCAGGAGAAGACCGACAGCTACTTCCACATACACGCACGCCACCCACACACACAGCCCTACACTTTTATGAGCTGCCACTAGTTTTGTACGATACTCTGATGCATGCACAAGTTTTTATTTATATACACAAAGGTAAATGATTGTAACTTGTATACCAGATGTGAATGCCAATAAGATGGCCAGATATGATCGGATTGTATGAGGTTTCTCAGTAAATACCTTGGTTGGATTATCGACTTCAATAGCGTAACAACTTTAATAAACTTCATGAACTACAAGGGCACCAATCGTTTGTATTTACAAATATTGATCGATGTAGATTGCTTGAAACATGGCGGAATAGTCAATCCTCAAGAGTGTACTCTGAAGTGCGATCAATGAATGTACATTTTTAATACATCATCATGTTTTTTAATATTTCTTCGCATGCTCGATTAGACGGATTTAAATTAATTAATATGCACATGCATATATTGATGATCGTCAATATAAAAACTGGAATTAATGCGTTAAGCCTTACAAATACACAGAAGCATCTGATAAATACAGAAAAGGTAATGCTTATGAGATTTTCATCAGAATGTTATTTCGTCGGTGCATATTAGTTTTAGTAGAAGAATTCTTTTTGCAGAATAAGTTAAACTCCTTGTCATAACTTCCATAACTTGTAGAGACTCGTGTACGAAGAAAACTACTGGCAATAACTCTTCTGTGTGACTAATATTATTGATCATAGATTAACTGAATTTGAATCATTTCGACTATCAATGAGAATCTCTATGCGAGCTACGAAGAAACTGGAAGCAGTCACTTTCCAAATTAAATCAATTTAAAGATGCATATCTATTTCTTGTCTGTTGGGTAGTTTCTCATAACTGAAATGGTTCAACAAAGCTAAAACGTCTTATTATATCACATAGCACTTTAGCATTTAACTCTGTTTTATTAGATTATTTACGAAGAGAATCACGACACAATGCTCGTACTTCTTGCTACTATTTCGTTGTTTTTCATCCACAATGCACAGACTGTCATGGTAGCGAAAGCTAAGGTTCATTCAGATTCCAGTAACGTTGCTGTCGGCTGCTTGAAATTCATACAGAACGACGCTGACTCTCCAATCATCATCCAGGGTAAATTTTGGAATATGACACCCAATACTGTTCATGTAAGTTTGAAAAACTCAGAATTACAAAGAGAAGATAAACTCAGCTTTAGAATTTGAAATCAAGAGAAATAATTGAAAAATCAAAACATCAGTGTCTGAAATTACTTAACCCTGAATAGATCGTCACTGTCACTTTAGGGTTTCCACGTTCACAGAGATCCACTGGTGAACGGTGAACTCAACTGTACAGCAGCTGGGCCTCACTTCAATCCTTACGGTGAGTTTAGTCTTGGTTGTTGGCAACCATCATGAATAATTTGTCCATCATTTTTCTCTTTCAGGTACGACACATGGTCCAATCACTGCAGATATTATGAGCCGACATGTTGGAGATCTTGGCAATGTGACTACTGATAACGCTGGTAGGATCAGCATCAATATACAAGATTCGATTATTCAATTATACAATACAACACAATCTATTGTTAATCGGACCATTGTTCTACATGCAATGCGGGATGACGGTGGTATAGGTGGTTTTTCGGACAGTAGCACTACTGGGTAGGATCTACTTTGTCTGAGCTTCAACTGAAATTAAATTTCTTTTGTAGAAATGCGGGTGCTCGAATTGCTTGTGGCAACATAGTGCTAAAAAACAAGTGGTCAAGACATTAAGTACTTACCGCTATCAATTAACTTTTTTTCATTGAACTCTTTTTACGATACATTTGATCTCATTATTCCATATATACCCTGGAAAAGATAGTTGCAATTCGTATCTCGAATATATCGTCACCAGAAGAACATAATTTAAAAAAAAAGAATTACGTAGACCGAAAACCTTCAGAGTTTTCTATCACCTCGTGTATTATATTCTAGTTTGCACTCATATGTCAGAAAATAAATCGAGTATAATGAAGACATCCTTCTCATTAGATTCACATAGACTGAATTTTGTTTCTGTTTTCTCAATTAGTTTTTCTTTTAAATTTTTCATGACTATACAAGTATCTTTTTAAAATGGTACCTAACCATTCTGATAGCACGTAAATTTCTCTATCATTCTTTATTTGGAAGCTATCGACTTTTAATATACTCCAGACTAATATTTCGAATAATGTTGATCCATCGTAATTCTAATATTCTTTTGAAACACATTTTCTTTCTCTCCAAGTAAACTAAGTACGTTGCTGTATATAATGTTTCATAGAAGAACCCTACTCTCAATACCACTAACAAGAAAAGAACTCTAGATCTCTTAAAAAGTTGTTTTGTTTCTTTTCAAGTATACATTCTACGTTCCGTAGAAGGATACTCTGTTTCCGACGATCAATTCTTAGAGATACATTCAGCAATAGCATATTGTTGGCTATGTGTTAATTATATGAAATATTTGAATAGTCATTAACACAGCAGTCTATACTCGAAAAACTATTGATAGGTTATGGTCTAGAACGGTTTTGCAAAAAGGAATTTCTATGTTAATATATAATTATCTTTAGAACAAAGTAATTCGATAGTGATGAAAAATTTTAAAAACTAATGAAAAAGACAACGATAAAATTCAGTTCGTGTGAATCTACTGATGAGGATGTCTTCATTGTATGCGATTTATTTTTTGCCATATAAGTGCAAACTAAAATATAAATATACAGAGCGATAGAAAACTCCCAAGATTTTCGGAATATGTAATTATTTTTTTATAAATGTGTTTTAATAGTGACTACATATTTAAAATACGTTTTGCAAATTTTGTTTCCAGGGTATATATTTATATTCCTGCATCTATTTTTGTATTTCTATTTTCTCGAATAATTGAGACAAGTTATTAAATAAATAACGAGTGAAAACTGGTTGTTTGACAATCTGATTCACCAATTATCAAGTTAGAAAAGTTCATTTTAACAATCTATGATTGTGCCAAAAATTTCCGCTTTTTGTCATTAACAGGTTAGTAGAAAGATATTAGAGAATGCCCTCTGTTGTTCATTTTTTACTTTGATTAACAGATGAAAAGTGAAATGAAATGTTTGCTGTGACTTACCACAGTAAACGTTTTAAGAGTACAGATCAGTGCGACAAAAACTCAATCTTGTCGAATCTTTTTCTTTTGGCAACTATGGTTGTTTTTCTGTTAAGCACGTACACTGACATTTACACTTACAACCACCTATTACAGATTGTGACAGACTGCCTGACACTCCTCCACCGGCCATGCAAGATATTTTCGATACACGATCAAAGATCGTACATCAAAAACGTCGTATCATTATGTGTAAACTAACTTATGATCCGAGTTCTGAAAGAATAAGTAAAAATATGGTTTATAAATGTGGGTGTTGGTGTCAATGTGCATATGATTATGATGTACGCCCATAAATCTATAGGATTCAAGGTTTAAGAAAATTCGGAATAATGAAATCGATACACAGCTCAGTACCCATATATTAATGTCCAATGGGATGTAGGGATGGGCGTGATTGAGATGAACAATCACAATCACATCCTCGGTTTTGGTGTACGTCTTCCTTATATCAGTAATATACATATCCCTCTCAAAACCTACAGTTCTCCATTGCCACATCACGTTCACACATGTTAGGGTGTACGTACTTTGCAATACACTTTCTTTCATTTTTGTACTGTAATAGGAGTGTTTCTTCATTAGGAATGTTTTTTGCGCGTTCTCCAAACTCGACGCAACCCTAGGATAAGTAATCCACATTGTTCGCACATATCTGTATAACAATTCAAAATTTGATTTGTTCGTCATTGTAACAGAGCGGTAAGCTTTATTTTACTTTCATTTTATTTTAACTTCATTTCGCACATGTTTTACTTATGAGTTCTTTAGAAAGCACTGTTAGTGGCACAGATCAAATGTCACACGCAAATCGTATGTATTCAGCCTATGTAGAAGGTGAGAATTTCTGATGAGAATGAGTCGTAGCTTACTCTTAAATATTTTTCTCTGTTTTGTAGGTTCCGATCGAAATGTGTGTTACGGAAGAAATCAGTTCAAACAGAACCACCGAATTCGACACGATCTCTGAGCGTTTTCATAATGAATTGCACGTGGAATAACCGTTGTTTTTAGGCTGTTTTGTAGGCTATCACGTACATAATGCTATCCTCGATAGTAGATTTTGATAATTTCAAAAATACGTTCTAATGTCATATCCATTTTGCTTGTTGTAGTGTTCAATACTCATTACATTTCCTATTTTACAAAACGAGTCATAATAACTTCTTCTTCAATGAGTTATTCTCGTTTAAATATTAATTTTGGACGGTCGAAGAGAAACCGACTGATGTCTTCGTCATCTAACATCTTTTTAGTAACTCGATTTCTATGTGAGGAGCAACCATTTTGATCATTTTGTCAATTTCTGTGGCACCATATATCAGTAGATAATTATCGTAACGATCGTAACAGGTAAGAAGCCGAATGTATGTTGAAACTTTTGTAGCAGTCTTTTAGTTCTCATCTATATCCTTCATTAAGAAGTCGGTCAAAAAAGATGGCAAAGTATTGTTCAGTCCATCCATGACAAAAGAAGAACTAGAGTCAAAAGAAGAAAAACTGTGTTCTTATTTTTGAGACTCTTCACAGTTTTGACGATCTCGGAAGCTTTCAAAAATCATTGTAGATCGAAATTTCAGCTTGTTCCTCCTTGTCCAAGATGATGTTTTTCAAGAATCGAATGAAAAAATCATTTTAATCTTGCTGTAGTCAATAACATCATTTTGGTCATGTGACTTCTCAACTTTTGAAGATTGTATCACGTCCAATACACAGTGGTTACCAAACTTATCCAACAATCAGCCACAGTTTTTTTTCTCATTCTACATCTCCTTTCTGGCGAAAGCTAGAGAGCTCGGGTTTCCATCAGTTTGTAGCCTATGGTAAGTCTCAGCTCAATCAATCAAGTAGTTCATTTTTAATTAGAAAAACAGACTTTTCATACAATTTTTATCTTCGAAAGTTATGCAATCATCTATAATAATTGAATACATTTTGCTACATTTCCAAGTATCAACGTCAGTTGCTTAGTTGATTGTTTATACGATGACGCCCGAGAGGAAGGAATATTCTTTTGACTTACGAGAAACTTATTAAACATTTTCTTAACGGTGACTCTGAGCACAAAATTGCTAGGAAGATAATAATGCTGCGAATTTCAGTTCATTACATGATCACGAAATACAGAAAAAGGAAACGTGTGGAAAATATTATCGGCAAAGATTGACAACGTAAGACTTCGATTCTCCTTGATCGAGCTTTTACAACGAAAACTATAAGTTACTTGGCGAAAATGAACATCACCCGTGCCAACTGAGTTTAAACCCAGATTTGGAGTACTCGTTTCTGAACAAGCTTTTTGGCGATACGTGCACGAAGCCGATTTTAAGGGTGGTGTTGCTCAAAGAAAGCATACGCTGGATAAGGTTAATCGTGGCAAATGTCTTGAGTATGCTAAAACAGATGTGAATGTAGAGATAGATCTTATGTCGGTTGAGACACACCCACTTGAATACGAAAAATGAAAGGCTCTTTTTTGGCTGTATGTGAGCTTGGTTCTAGACACATGTATGGATGCCGTTACGGACGAAGAAAAAAGTTATACCTACAGCCGATCGTTTATCTTATATTGTTGCTATAAGTTTTGCATAAAGAAAAAACGAGCCGTGATTGACTTATGTTTAGTAGCATTTTGTGTAGATGTATGTTGTGAATTTTCTTATTCTTTTTCTTTACCCAATAAATCTTTTATCGATACTATGATTATTACAGTAAACTTGACCATTCTTAAGCCGATATTTTTTTAAACATTTTTCTTTTCTTTTTTCTCTCATCGTACCAAAAAATATGTATGTATTTAGTTTATTTTCGTCATAGAAATAGGTCAATCTGCCAACTCTTGCTCAGAAGTTGATTGTTTATCCTTTGGTTCATCATATTGCCCTGAAGTTGTTTTCGCTGTTGGCTTAGTGCTCACAGTTTCGTGAACTCTCCGATCATCTTTATAATTTCCTTCTCTAATTCCACCATTTTTGAATGTATATGTACCTTTTCCGTGCCTTTTGCCATCTTCGAACATGCCTTCGTACTTGTCACCATTACTGTATGTCAAAGTGCCTTTCCCATGTTTATTATCTTCGTGAAAGGGACCTAAAAAGATGAGCAACATCAAAAGCACATCGAAAATATGTCTTCGACACTTCTCTACAAGCACTTTAAACACAGAAAAATGCGCGAGTACTGTCTAGACAGATGTCGCGTTCTTTAACCAAATCTCCTACTTGTCATCCTTAAACTGTAATACTTTTATTGTACTATCGAGTAACAATGAAGTCCAGACATGTGTAAAATAGCACATTTCGTTTTACTCTTGTTTCAGTGGATTTTGAATTAGAACGTCAATCACTTAATTCGAAATATTTATGAGTTTTGAAAAACTGCTCAATGTCTAAAGAACAAAGGCCTGTGTGAAATTGAACTAGTTATGCTAACTATACAACATTCGCCTCACTTTTTATACTTTTTCTAAAACTACTTTCACTAAATAAGTTTCATAAAAAAAAGTATTTCAGAGTTTTTTTTCTATGAAGTCTACACTTATTTGAAGAAAGCTTGCAGAAAAGAAGTTTGAAAAGGCTAAATAGTAGTTCGCAAAGAACCACTGTACAGTAGAATGATAATGAGCCAAATGACGAGTTAAACTTAGACTGGTAAACAGCTTATTTTATACAAAAGTGTACCTATTCATAACAAGTAGGCAGTGTCGTAAAAGCTTCTTCTCTGTATACTTTGAGAACTAAAAATGTGCACTGTACTTACCAACATATTCTGAACCATCAGCATACGCGTAAGTTGCGTGAGCAGATTCCATTTTATTATTTTTCCAATCTCCATCATATTTATCACCATTGGTAAACTTCAGGACACCTTTGCCATGTTTTTTATCATTCTTCCACTGCCCTTTATATTCAGCCGATGGCTGCTTATAATAAGTGTATGTACCATCGCCATCTCTCTCGCCGCCTTTCCATGAACCTTTGTAGGTGTCACCGTTTCTGTAGTAATGTGTTCCTTTACCATGTTTTTTATCATCTTTCCATTCACCAACATAACGACCTTGCCGAATTTGTCCTTCTATGTCATGATGTATGTAGGTACCTGTGCCATTTGGTTGTTCATGTTCATTTATTTCTCCTGTGTAAACATCCCCATTATCATAATCGATTGTTTGGTTGACTTCTTTCTTCGCCATTGTGATTTTAGTATGTATAATTGGTTAGACCTCTTGTAACTGTTAATCTTTGTAGCAGACTGCAAGAATGTAGAGAGCAAATCTGTTAAGAAGTCTACGCTAAAGATATCTCTAAAATAATACTGTTTTCAATAGAAGGTAAATATTGTGGATGACAAAAGGAAGGAAGGACTTTTGTAAAAATAACCAGAAGGACCTACATTATACAGTCACGTGTTATCTTAATAATAGCTGATTTCGTATGATGCAAAACTTAGAGAAAATAAAAAAAGCATAAGAAGATAAAAAGAAAGAAAGATCGAAAAAACAAAGACAAGAATTCCATATTCGCACAGTTTTAAAATACATCTATTAATCTTTCTTCTTTTACATCACATAATACGATTTGTTCTGTTCAATATTTTCCGACCTAAAAATTTCATTTCCAGCACTATCGAATAAATGTCGAGCGCCCATTGATAGAGAAAGCTTTTGAGTAGCTTCGGCTAAAATCTGTACAGAATGAAAAAAGAAGACAATGAAGATTAAATGTTTCTATGTGAATTTAAGAAAAGCAATGTCTTACCGTATTTATCGAACATGATTTACAATACACGCATCGAGAAAGGTCATTGTTTTTGTAAACTCGAACATAAAAATTCCTTGTAGGATAATAGCTACGACCAATGGGAACATGAGGCTGCCTTGAACTGTCAAATAGAATAAAGATGCAACATTTAAAGTCGCATTGTGGATCAAGTTCTTTCTCTGATGAAATATTAGGTGTTTGTATTGATCAATTTCATTTTCCTAAAAGAACTATAGAGACCACGTACCGCGCCTCTTGCTCGATCTGTTTCATGTGCTTTAATCAAGAGCAATTTTTATGCTTATGATATGGCATATGAATTAACCAGAAATCTTTCGGCTGATGAAACAAAATCTCCGTTGAATAGTATTGTACCTTGGTCTCATTGACAAATACGCAGTTCAGAGGCATCTGAACTCTTATTTCTCGAACTATTGCAAACAATTAACAGAGCACGAATCAAAACTTCATACCTTTTCCTACGTATTAAATTTGTTGGTGTTTTACTTTCATCTGGATTCTCACGCTGAGAAATACGTATTGGGTTTTTTCGGTTCATTTCTTTGAATAGTTTAGCCGAATCCGGTTTCTCTATTTGAGGTATGTGTCTTCTTTTGTCACGTTTGTTACCAGTTATCCGAACCTTGGCGAGATCAGGAACCTCTATTTGAGCATAATGGTTCGAGTTCTCTGTTTGAGTACTTCGAGTTGTTGAAGAAACACGATCCTTCATCACTAAATCCTGTAAATGAGGACATTTGTGATGTTTAGGAAAGTCAAGAGTTTCCGTCTGAGGAACGTGCCAATTTGCTTGTGTAGATTGAGAGTGTAGGAACCGGTTTGGTTGATCAGGATTTTCAAACTGCACCTTCGGTCCCGCCCAATCACTTTCATTCTTTAATATTGGTTCTTTCAATAAGTCGGGATTTTCATCGATAACATGGGGTGGCTCATGCGCAGAATCTTCGCTGTTCTTCGATTTCGGTTCATTATACAAATTTGGATGTTCATCTTGAGGTTCGATAGCTCGCCATGTATCTGTTCTGTTTGCGAAAGTAGGCTCTTTAGCTAAAATCGACACATGTCAAAACAAAACAAATTCATTTTTATATGCTCATCATTTGAAACAAACTTACGAGCAGTCTACACCTACAAATCGTTGTGCAAGCAACGTTTTAGTCAACCCACTACATTTAATGGGAAGGCTATGCTTCAAAATAATTTTAAGTAAACGTATTTTCACGATTTTTTCTTCTGTTAGTTTCTTTTCAACTGAGCTCATTCCCAAATGTAGCAGAGCAGATTCCATTGCTAACTATCCTCAATGGGTGCTATAAATTTCTCAGATCTATATGACAGTTCGAAAAGATGAATCTAACTAACGACTCATAAGAAACCATTGTTGAATTGCGTGAACAATCTGGACACTAAAAGCGATTGGCTTTGAGCGCAACCTGAATATGCTTACTTCCCTAAGAGAGCCTAGTAGAACAACTCAGTATCCTTGCCTGTATCAGGAATTTCAATTAGAGAGCCGATACGCGTAGACAGATATGGTGGAGAAGGACATATTGAAGTTCGTGAACAATGGCATACTTTTCTACAATTGCTTTCATGACAGCACCCAAATAAAGTAGAAACAGTCACACGACAACATCCGATGCATGAGTCGACGATTTCAACGCAAGATTTATGACATGAGCAGTCACAGGTAGACGATCTTATGCTGAGCGATGTGCTTGGTGCAGGCAAATAAGAGGGTGGAGGTGGTGGTCCACCATCTTCCCGGTCTGGTTTTTTTGCAGAAACGGATTTTCTTGGAGGATCAGGTTTTTCCAGCTGTACAATGTGTATTGGTGGATCGCTTTCATTTAGAGGAGAATGCCGCACAGCTAGAGTTGAAAACTGATCGATCAAAATGAGCCTGAACGTGTGGTTGTGGATGTATCAGACAAGTATAAAAACATCGACACACACTCCATAACTATTATTATATGAGAAGATGATAACCGGTATTATGTCATTTCAAACGTTCATACGAGTACTCAAAACTCATATAGCTACATATACGGATAGGTTTCCTTCTTTGTCTGCATATAAACTAATTTCTGTTGAGATCAAACTTTATGTAACAACCCTATCCTCGCCTTGACGGTCCCGTGAAACTAAAATTTAACATTTTTACTCCGACAATACTCCTAGATACGATGCTAACGGTGTTTTTTTACCATTTCGACAATCAGGATAGCTCTCAGCTAACGCAAATTTTACTTTTCTTCTAAATATATGTTGAAAAATAACGGTTCTTCTGAGTAACTAAGTTTTCAACGAAACATGAGAAGATGACGTTGTGTTGTATGTTTGTTGGAAACAGATCCGCCGTGTCAAACTAATATTTTTCCGAGTCCTTTTCAGGCAATGCGACTATGGAAAAAGTCTACATTTGATTCGGTGAAGCTGCGTGAATGTTGGATAGATTTGAACAGAATGCACTGGATAAAAACCAGTTTCATTAAGACACGTCTGCATAAATTGATGGATTGTAGCTGACCATAAGTTTGCTTATTTGTCTAGTGGTGTATTCTTCGCCTGTGACATAGGTTCAAGGAGAAATTGTTCTTCAAAATGTCTTCTTTTTCGTTATTGCAGTGAGATCAAGTTTGAGCAAATCATGTTTCATAGAAAGATCTAATACCAGTCTCCTTTTCGAAGCAATAATCTACTCATTCAACACAATTAAATATTCAGAATATCTTAGTTGGTGTAGGATTTGATTCATTCGTCAGAGACGTGTGTGTGTTGTTAACGTTTCCATTCTCAATGCACTATGTATTACGTGAAACAACTCGAAAAATAATTGATCTAATGCGAAGTTGTCTTGACTGGATTTTCCATATAATTAGCGTTGCAAATAAAGATACTCAACTCAATCTACCTTCTTCAAACCTAAACTAATTTACTTTGAGTATACCTTTAATATGCTTACTTACCTGAGAAAATCCAGTAGGAAAACTCAGTATTCTTACCTGTATCTGGATTTTCAATTTGAGGTTGGATTGATGTAGATGGAGGTGATGGAGTAGGACCTGGTGGTGTTCCAGAACAATTACATAGGCCGCCACATTTGGATTTATAACACCATACACATGCTCCACAAAAGCAGACACCTAAGGCTGAAACAAATACACGACAACAACTGATGCATGGATCTACGATTTTGACTGAAGGCATATGACATGAGCAATCACAGGTAGACGATCTTGTGCTGGGCGATGTGCTTGGTGTAGGCAAATAAGAGGGTGGAGATGGTGGTCCACCGTCTTTCCGGTCTGGTTTTTTTGGAGAACCGGATTTTCTTGGAGGATCAGATTTTTCCAGTTGTACAATGTGTATTGGTCGATCGCTTTCATTTAGAGGAGAATGCCGCACAGCTAGAGTTGAAAATTGATCGATCAAAATGAGGCTGATCTGAATTCACTTGAAAATATTACATAAGAATGACTAACGACAATGTAATGAGAATCTAAAGTTCGCTTGCTTTATGTCTTCGTCGGCATATGGAGAATGGTTCACAAGTTTCGAACCTGGACACAAAGTAGTTTATATGCACACAGAGAATGATCCTTCATTGTATGTATCTACATAAGTTTTCAGTACTCGTGTTAACGTTTCAAATGGCGTAATATTGATTAACACAAGCAAGGAAAGGCGAGGCCTTGAACCCATTTTTTCCTCCTTTGATTTACATGTTCTTTTTTAACAATAGTAATACAAACATGCGTATATGATGTTCGATTTTTTTGTAATCGATCAACAAGAATGTGTGAGAATTTTCAATTTAATGATGAATAAGTGTTTGAATAATATAGTGGTATATCAGTGCCCATTTTTTGGGCATCTCGGTTTCTGTGTCACTAATTACATGATGAAACAAAGTATTCGTTGACAAAGGAGTTTACAATGAATAAACAATCATGACCACACTTAAGACTGAACAAGCGCTATGTAGTTCATGTGTTTGCTACTGTTTATCATTTTTTTCTATAAAGAAAATAATAATTAGGATTTATTACAAAAGAGAGATCATTGACATAATCATCAGGTAACTACCATGTTTTTCTGCTTTAAGATTATTCTGCGAGGTTAGAAAAACTCCATACAGCAAGGTGACGGAAAAACATATTGCTTATGAAACAAGAAATTTTCATATTATGAAATATGCATGCCGTTTGTTTATATACTGTGTATTCGATATATGCTTTGTTTGATCATGTAACTAGTAACAAATAACCCAGATAATCACAGATTGGGTTCTCGCATACCATGATTTTATTTAAACACTTATTCATCATTTAATTGAAAATTCTTAAACATTCTTGTTCATCGATTGCAAAATGTCGTTTATGGCATACTAATGTTTATATTCCTGCTTTTTGAAGTGAAGATGTTAGCCGATATTATGCTGTTTGAAACGTTGCCACCAGTACTCCCCACTCATATAGATACATACAGTGAGGGATTATTCTCTGTACCCATATAAACTAGTTTGGTTTGAGGATCATAAGTTATGTGATATCGTTTATCCTTCTCGTCCAGAGATACACAAAACGAAGCACTAACTTTTCTTTTCTTCGACAGTGTTCCCATATACGACGCTAGCGGATGTTGTTGCCATTTCGTCAATCAGGCGATCTCTCATATAACGAATAACGTTTCATGAAAAGATATATTGAAAAATAACGACTCTTATCAGCAGTCAAATTTTCAATGCCGTTTAAGGAGGCGAAGGTGTGTTATGTGCTTGTTGGAAACACAAGCGCGTTGTATCAGAAAAATATATTCTCGTGTCCTTTTCCGAAAATGCGACTTTGAAGAAAAAATCCATATGTGATTTTGCGGAGCTGCGAGAACGATATATCGACTTCAACAGGATGCAATGGAGAAAGATCTCTCTAACCGACGCACGTTTTCATCAAGTAATACATTTGAACTGGCAATAAGTCTGTTTATTTCTCCAGTGGAGTATTCTTCACCTGTAATACAAGTTCCAGGAGAAATTATCACTTAAAATGTCTTCTTTTTTGTTATTCTAATGAGATCAAGTTTGAACAAGTCATGTTTCATAGAAAGAATAGTATCAGTATGTTTCTTGCAGCAACGATGCATTCATGCAACATAATTAAAAGATGAGAATATCTTATAAGACTTCATGCATTAGTGAGAGAAGTCTCTGTCGTTAACGTCTCCATTCTCAATACACTGTGAGTTGCGTAGAACAATTGGACAAATGCTTGGTCTAATGCGATATGATCTGGATTGTATTTTCAGTTTACTCAACGTTACAAATAAAGATACTCGACTCAATCAACCTTCTTTACAGTTCAACTAATTTGCTGTGTGCATAATATGAATATGCTTACTAAGGAATTTCAAACTGTTCCTGGTCCCCCTCCCGATTCCGTCAGGATCAGATTTTAATTTTAACAGGACCAGGACCGGGAATTAAAACTCACTAAAACTGGTCCCGTAATATTCTCTGTTCAAGAACTAAACTACATATTTTCATAATTATTATTCTGTTCTGACTAATGATCTACAAGTTGGCCTTTTTATTTATTATCGAGATAAAATTATGAATTTCAAAAAAAAACACTTTTTTGATCCTGAACGAATATCACCTTGGAAGCTCTACTAAAAATAGTACTCATAGTTCTGCAGATTCTGAGTTTTGATATTATCAAAGAGACTCTTGATTAAACATGAACTGAAGCTCACTCATTTAGAGTTTGTATCTATGCAAAAACTATGAGCTTTGAGAGAATTTTCTAAGCCACATAGCCAGAACCAAGGAAAATGTTGACGAAGACAAAAACACTAGTGATGTTTTTCTTTAGTTTTGATGCATCCACATAAAAGTATGCTCATACTGTTAATTTCTCAAAAGTATCAATACTCATTTTGAATGTATTCAAAGAATCATATAAATTATTAGAAAAATAGGTTTTTGTTCTAGAAACGAAATCAAGACCAAAAGCAACAAAAAGTTTTAAATGGGACCGAACACGCAATCGTGACCAAAAACAGGATTGTTCCGCCGATTCCTGATGCCCACTTCCCTGAGGGAGTATAGTTCGAAAACTCAGTATTCTTACCTGTATCTGGAGTTTCAATTTGAGGTTGGATTGGTGTAGATGAAGGTGGCGGAATAGAACCTGTTGGCGTAGATGGACGTCGTGAAATAGAGCTTGTTGGCGTAGATGGGCGTTGTGAAATAGAGCCTGTTGGCGTAGATGGACGTCGTGAAATAGAGCCTGTTGGCGTAGATGGATGTTGTGAAATAGAGCTTGTTGGCGTAGATGGACGTTGTGAAATAGAGCCTGTTGGCGTAGATGGACGTTGTGAAATAGGACCTGTTGGTGGTTCTGAACCCTTACAAGGGCGACCGCATACGGTTTCACAACACCATTTACATGGTCCACAAAAGCAAACAGCTAAAGCTGAAACAAATGCAGCACAGCATATAGTGCACGCATTGACGATTTCAACTGGAGGCACATGACATGGGCACGGACAGTGACACGAACTTGTGCTGGATGATACGCTTGTTGTAGGCGAAGAAGAACGTAAAGATGGTGGTCCACCATATGCCTGGTCTGGTTTTTCTGGAGAATCAGATTTTTCTAGTTGTACAATGAGTATTCGTTGTTCGTCTAAGGGAGAATGTTGTATATCTAGAATTGAAAAGGGATTCATTACAATGAGTCAGATTCGCATTCAGTTGAAAACCTTACATAGGAATGACTAACGACAGTCTAATAAGCGTCCGAAGGTACCCTGCTTGGTGTCTGCTACTTCATATATACTCTCATCCCTGAGGCCGCAAAAGTTAAAATTAAGTTTCTTGTTTCCACAGTATATTTGAGAGAAGACGCGAACGCAAATTTTTTAATTGCGAATATGACAATCATATGTTTTTTCACGTAATACAAATTTTTGCTGAAGAAGGAATGTAGAAAAATGTTGAGACATTTCAGGTGATACGATGACATGTTGTATATCTAGTCAGAATCAATAACCGTCAGATGCAAAAACAATATCTCGAGTCTCTTCTTTGAAACTATGGTACCAAAATTTCTTAAACAGAAGTTACTTGCTAATCAGGGATGCCACATAAATTTGTACAGGCTGTTCTATAGAAACACTTTAAAATGGAAACAATTTTCCATAGCTTCACGGATTCCAGATAATATTAAGCCTGTTGCTTCATCTAGAAGCGTCTCAGAGAAACAGTTTCTATCATGAAGTAGAACTAATCGAATTCTCTGTAGAATATCTTAAACTAATTTTACAATGTGTTTAGTGACGGACACACTTTGAAAAGGATGCAAACCAAGCATGACATAGCCTTCATTACAAATAGCTAAGCTATCCAATCTAGTCTTGTTTACGAGTGAGCCTTATTGAAGAAATTGATGTTCCTAAATTAGTCTGCGCTCAGCTGCAAGAAATATCAGGGAACGGTACCCAGTGAAGCGTAATTTGAGAATCGATAATAAAGTTTCCGTGGATCGTGTGCTTTCTAGTAAATATAAATTCTAGAATAATTCATAAGAAGTTATACTTGGAAACAAAAACGTTTCTACATGAAATCTGGCTTTTTTGTGGTGAGAGACCTTGTGTGTTTTATTTGTTGACAATAGCAGGCAGTTCGTTCCAATAAGAAAAACATTAATCTTATAGAAATGTTATTGTGCAAAAGTTAGATTATACTTCATGGACTAATTTCTCAAGGTTTGTTATATGATGCACCGAGACTGATACGTTGTTGAATGAATATAGTTTGCCTTAAGCAAAGTCTTAAAGGAATGTTGCGTATAACTAACTCGGCTGTTATGAAAAATAAGTTAATCGATCTTTGACGTAGCAGAAAGAAGTTATAGACTTTTGAAACTAAAGTTCTTCAAAAAACACTGAAAATACAATCTCTGCTATATTCCACTGATAACTTCATCACTTTGTTTCAGATATTTTTCGACTGACCTCTTATTGGGAAAACCTTCAAAAGTGTACTAGAAAATCGATGTTCGAAATTACTGTGGCCTCAATTTCTAAAATTGGAAAACAGTAAAAACTTTGAGGTTTTCTCAGACGCTAATTTTTGAATTGACTTCAATGTTGACCAAAAATTGCGGCATGTAATCTTGTGAAGCAAAGAATTCTCTAGAAAGCTTACGGAAAGATTTTAGAAATTATGAAGGATACTAGCTCGAAGTTTGTAACAACAAGATGATCAACAGCCACGAAATTTTCTAGTTTTTGTTTTTTTCAGCGAAATTTTATCAAAAACGTAAGCTGAACTCCTATTTGAAATCAGAATGAAAAGCTACGCGTAGACATGTATTTTTTATGGATACTCGATAATTTATATTCTCAGCTTTTGAAACACTGGTCTAGGGTATCGATGGATATAGGATTGGAGCAAGAAATAATCCTCACTCACACCCAGACCTACTTTCGGGACTTTTTGAGAGATCAGGTTTTTCATCTTGCTTCGTGCTTCTGTTTCGCTGTGGATACTTGCGACGAGGGTGAAATTTTCCCGTTGTAATGGGCCC